TGTTGCTTTGTTTTAATACCTGCTAATTGGCTCTTATTCTCCTCCTCGATCCCTTGAGCATCCTGCTGCAGCTCCAGCCCACGTCCAGCTCGAGTTTCCAGGGGAAGAATGGCCGCATTGTAACGCCCTCATCGGGCTATAATGGGGAGCTTTGTGCCGAGGTGTGAAAGCGGAGCCGGCTCCCCGGGACGGGGCTCGCTGCAGCGTAAGGGCTTTTATTTCCCCTGCTGCCAGGTTTTACAGCGTCCTCTGCTGCTCCCTCGGATCCCATAAATAACAGAAACCAGGATGCTGCCCACCCTGGGTCCCTTCCAGCACCCTGACCTTTCCAGCAGACCTATGATGTGCCTTCCCAGGATGAAGTGCTGGTGATCCTGCTCCCGGGGGAGAGGCAGCGGAGGCAGGGAGGGTGTGAGCAGCACAGGATGAGATCACCTGCCAACAGCAGTAGGGAAACTTCATCCTCCTTTGCTGTGAACCTGGAGCAGACTTTCGGATGCAAACTGCATGATCCTGGAAAGAGTCTCTGGCCTGGGAAATCCTTGGCCTTCCTCCTCCCAGAGATGTCTAGACTAAGGAGCAGCATTTATTTCCTGTGAACAGTGCTGAACATTGCTGGAGGGGCATGGAAAGCTTTTTCCACCAGCCACCCTGCCATCATGGTAGCATCCTGTTGAGGCTGTGAAATCCCTGCTTGAGCCTAAATCCCCTGTTCTTTCTCTTGATGAACAGCCAGTGTTGGTTTTACTGTCCACAGACTGCTTGGAGTCGACAGTGTCTGGGAGCTCCAGTCAGTGGCTCTATGGTGTCAGGCACTATATGAGGTGGCATCATTGGTTGACTGGGTTTGTTGCTAAGCCAGGCAGCCCACTGCCTCCTCCAGTGTTCCCTGCCTGTGCCCAGGGGAGGGTGGTGATGGTGTGTAGGCATCATCTCCATCCTGCAAACAGGAAGGGATGGAGTGTCTCAGTTGGCTGCCATGTCCCTGGACATGGGGCTGTCTGCTGGCACGACCCAGCCTGCTTCCACTCTTCCTCTTCTCCTTCTACATCGAGAAGAACAAACAAGCAAACAGAGGAAACCAGTGAAAAACCTCGAATGAATCAAATTTCCATCTTCTAGATCATCTCCACTATCTGCAGTACATCTCTGTCCAGCCTACGTACTTACTTGTGGTTGGGTTTTTATCTCCCTGTATTTCCTTTTTAGTTCTTCCCGAAACTGACGTGTGCACAGCAACCACAAAGAAACTTAGATTTAGTGAGCCAGATTTCCATGTCCCTGTCATCCATGGAGAAGCCCAGATATTCACAGATAAGCACCCAACATGTGCCCTTTCCAGCATCCCATCTGTGAACACCAGCCCCTGTGGCGCGTTCCGAGTCCTGCAAATGCTGATCTGTTCCTTCATGTCCTGTAACTTACCTCTCCTGGGATGTCAACAGAAAAACCGCAGTCAGAAATAACTTAATGTTTCTCCCTCCATCAGCCAGGTCTAACAAAGGAAATGTTCTTCCCTATTCTGTTGCAGAGCGTCTAAGCTATAAAATGGGGCCAAATGGCCTCCCCCTGAGCACAAATAACAACAGGAGAAAGATCCATATGCAATCGAGTGTAGGATAAATGTGCTTAGCTGATCGTTCGTTTCCCTAATATTTTTTTTATGAATAGGCTTAGCTTATGGTAAGATGGGACTTTATGGTCCTGTAAGTCTTGCTTGTGTCAAAACAAATGAACTAGCCATCCTAGGGGGGAACTATCAATCCGATATATGTGTGTGCATGGGTGTGGGGAGTCAGACCTATTATACCTTTAAGAGCAAATTAGATGCTGTTCCTATGATTCATAAAGCTATATATCTAATGGCATGACTCGTCATCTAGAAAATAAACGTTTCGAGCCAGTTTCTCATCTCATAAATTTCCCCTCTGGCACTGAAGGACGTAAACTAAACGGGCTGACTCACAGGGAAACAATACAATTTGGATACTTTTAAATGAAAGATAAAATTGCCTTAGGGCACAGAGGGGTGTTGGGGTCCCAGGGAGTGGTTGGCGAGCGCAGGACAGGACGTTGGGGGCCGCTGCCATTCCCAGCAGATAGGCTGGACAAGGCTGCTCCTGGGAAGACCTTCATGGTTCCCGACCTTCTTGGGTTTTCACAGCTTGGTGACTTGTTGTGAACACCATGACGAAGCAGTCAATATGGAAATAGTCATGTTGGAGATGGAATTCTTGTAGGTGCTGTCTTCTGGAAGGCAGGAGAGCATCTGAAGCTCTCCCGAAGTCTGCAGCTTCCCATGGGATGGATCTCGGCACCCTCTCTGTATTCTTGTCCATTGCTCTTGGTCTTCTTGTGCCATTGGGCTCCTAGTGGAGTGGCAGCTGCTGTTCTGCATTTGTGTGAGTGGTTCCTGGGCTACACTGTTGGAAGGAGAGGTTTTCACATGGCTGTCACCTTCCCTTGCACAGCTTGAGGCCATTTCCTTTCATCCTGTCACTTGTTGCCTGGGGGAAGAGACCGACCCCCACCTGGCTACAACCTCCTTTGAGGGAGTTGTAGACAACAAGCAGGTCCCCCTGAGCATCCTTTTCTCCAGACTGAGCACCCCCATCTCCCTCAGCCACTCCTCCCAACTGACTCTCCAGACCTTTCCCCAGCTCCCTTCCCTTCTCTGGACACTCTCTGTCCCCTCAATGTCTTGCTTGCTGTGAGGGGCCCAGAACTGGACACAGGACTCGGGGTGTGGCCTCACCAGTGCCCAGCACAGAGGGACAAGCCAGGGACAATCCCTGGTTCCCGCAGCCTGGCCTTGCCATCAGTCAGGACGGAGGCAGGAGCCGGTAACCGGGTTAGAGTGCGTAGGTGTGCTCGCTGTAATGAGTGCGGCCGGAGGACGCATCCATCCGCTAACCTCGTTTGTGTGAAGGGTGACACAAGGCAGATGGCAGCTGGGTACCTGCAGGATCTAATTAAAATGTATGCAAGGCTGGGCAGGCAAAGCAAAGGGGATTGCTCATCCAGCTTGCACTTAACTGCAGGAAAAAGAAAAACAGAAGGAACTGACTACTGGATTTGGCCAAAGGGCGTGGATGGGGCAGGTGGAGTTTCTTCCCTGGGTCAGGGATGAGCAGGGAGAAGCTTGGTTAGGGGCCAGCGAGGGAGTGGGCAGAGCTGGGGATGGGGGACAGCAAAGTCATCAGTGTGACAGAGCGGCTCTTCCCAGGATCACCCAGCATCTGCCTGCGCCCACGGCGCGTGTCTGTGCACACACGTTCCCTCAGCACAGGGTATTTATCTTGCTTCCTAGGGAGAGCACACGCTTCCCCATCCATCCACACACATCCTGCACGGACCCGCCGCTCCCTGCAGACGTGTGTCTGCATCCATTTATCGGCGTGTCAGATAAACTCCTCTCTTCATCCCTCTCTCCAATTACTTTGGATGCCCTTTCCAGCCCAGCGCTTCAATTACATCTAAAGAACAGGGTAAAATAACATCACATTTTCTTTCTTTCATGTGTTTTTTTTCCTTCCTTTCTTATTTCTTTTTTTTTCTTTCCCCCCCCTCCATTTTTTTCCATCTGGAACAGTCCCGTTTTGTAAATGCCTGGAAGCAGAAAATTTTGAAGACGTGAGAGGCTTGAGCCACCTCATTAAAGGTGTTGGGGGTGTTTGGGGAGAGCGACAAAACCCCGGACAATGGGAGCCCTGACGTCAGGCTCTATTTATACCTCCTCCTTTCAGAAACCTCCCCGGGATGGCGTTTTTCCTAGAGTTTTCTGATAAATGCTGCAGTGTGAGCTGTCCCTGTCCTCCTCAATGGGCACAGCTTTATCTCCAAGGCGTACCCTGGCAGCACGGGCGGTATCGCTGGGGCCAGGCTTCCTCAGGCAGCTTTCCATGGGAGGAACAGGGCTGCTCAGCGTGGGTGAGGACCAGTGAAGGTGTTTCACCTCCAAAACGTGCCTCGTGAAAGGTCAAAAGCGTTACAGAGCTTTGTTTTAGTGGGTGATGTTTGGATGTTTCTGATTATTCTAGCTGGGCGTTGCGGCTTCGCAGGGTCGGGTTGAATGTTGGCTGTGTGTGTGCAGGGAGAGACAGACCTTGTCTTCCAGGCTGGAGGTTTAATTACAGGCAAAGTGTAGTGGGAGAAACCACCCTAAATCCATGATGTCTGAACTACAGCAGGGTGTGGAGTGAGGGATGTCCCATCCTGCAGTGTGGGGACTGACACCAAGTACCCCAAGCTCTGGGATGAGCACAGGGGAGACCTGAGTGGCTCTGGGAATTCAGACTCCAGCAATGAACAGCTGTTATTCCAGGGATCCATTGGCATCAATAGCAGCAGTCAAGGGGGCTCCTGTTCAGAGTGGGGACAGCCTCCAAATATTTAACAGTTGTGGTGGTTTTTTTTGTTCCAGATACTACTGTTTTGCTTGAGAGTCTTTCTTATGCAAGTGAATAAAGCAGCAGTTTGCTTGCAGGAGGGCAATTTGTATAAATAATAAACTTGAGAGAAGAATGGAAGTGGTCTGTGCTGTTGGGAATGTAGGAATTACTTTAGGGGAACAGAAACAGCTGGGCGGATGGACATGGGGAAGAGTGGAAGAGTTTCATTGTACAGCAGCAGGGTGCAGATACCATGTGTATGATGTCCATTCTCACAAAGGAACTTATATTTGCGCTCCTTCATGCTCTTCCACCACAGGAGATCCCCTCCATAGGACTGGGCAGAGACTCCTCATCCCCACTCCAAAAGCAGCACTCAGGGATGAACAGGAGTTAAAACAAAGGGAAGGAGTGTGCCCAGGGCCGTGTAGCAGGTCTATCACAGAGCTGGGGAGGACACACACCCTCCCCATCCCATACTTCCTGATCCCAGGGCTCTGCACACACACACACACACCCTGGTGATGCTCAGCCCTGTGCGGCTGAGCCACTGGCCAGATTTCGCTGAGTCCTCAGCACACGTGTTCACGCTTTTTGTTCTCATGTCAGGCCTTCAAGGGAGCCCTGATGAGCTCATACTGGTGCTCGGGGAAAGGCGATGTTATCGAAGACTGGTGCAGGTGTGACCTCAACGCCTTCGATGAGAACGGACTCCCGAACTGCAGCCCTCTCCCTCCGCCTATGTACGTATCGGTGCGAGCTCCTTTGGGCCACAGCCCCCCAGCAACAGCCCCTTTCCTGGGGGTTGTGACCCAGCACCAGCCCTTTTCCCACAAGCCAGGACCCCCTGGCATCACTCCTTCCCCACAGGCTCAACCCACGGGCACCTCCTTCTGCACCTTTGAGCCCGGGGGCCGCAGTGCAGCCCCCCTCGCTGTGTGACTGATGCCTTTAGGATATCCTGGCTCCGGCTGTGGCCCTGGAAGGTTTCCTTATAGATTTTCATCACCTGATTAGCAGGCCTTGTAGAATGGGATTTCAAATGCTGAAAGAAATGGAATTACAGTGCAATTAATTGTGGCTTGTCAGAGCAAGAGCAAATCAGGAGCAAACTGATGGGAAATTAGCTGAGAAAGCAGGAAGACTGGCTCCAGTGAGCCACAAGGAGCAGAACACCTTCTTAGTGAGCCAATATCCTCGGAGGGGATCCATTTCCCATCCCAAGTCCAACAAACACGCTGTATGTTTGGAGCCAGACTCCCCGTATCCCTGTACTTGTGCTGTCATTTACCCCGGTGCAAAGGGAGCGGACGCCTCTGCACTAGCACAGCCAGGAGCACAAGGATCCTCTGCCTTCATCCCAGCCCACATTGTTCCTGCTCTGGGCTGGAGCTCCTGCACAGCTGCCCTGCTCTGGCTCTCAATCACACCCGGCAGAGGTTTGCTTGTTTGCAGCTGGGTAAATTCACACCACACCTGCTCCTTCCTTCTCCTCCTTCCGCCCTCCCTCGCCTTTGCTGGCTGGTGATGCAGACCAGACCCACCCCTCCCATGGACTCAGCCCCGTTTGGTTTCCAGAAGCTGGATCCCCTCCTCTTTTGCTCCTGGGGTGTTGGTCCTTGGCTCCCCGTGGGCTGCTGAAGTTCAGCAGTTCTCCCAGATGATGAAGGCCCCTTTGGGTGGGATATTTGGGGTTGCATGGTTGTGGCTGCGTGAGCTTGGCTTTTCCAGGAGCAAGGGGAGGCAAGGGCACACACTACAGTAGGCTTAACCCAACTAGCTGGAGGTTCTTCCATGCTCACCTGCCCGCTCTGCTCTTGTGCCCTCTATCCCTGGGGGGGTTCTTTGTGCACATGCCTGTGTAGGAGTGTGAGCCCTGCCAGGGGTTGGGCTATTTTTAGGGGTGGGTTCCTCCCCAGAGAGAGAGCTGATGTCTTACTTGGTTTCTTTCCTGTCTCCTGCCCCAGCCTGCGGCTCTCCCCCAACGTGGAGCCCTCCAGCACCGTGGTCAGTCTGGAGTGGCTGGATGTGCAGCCTGCCATTGGGACAAAGGTGTCTGACTATGTCCTGCAGCACAAGAAGGTGGATGAGTACACGGACACAGACCTCTACACAGGTGGGTGTGGGGGCAAACTCCTCGTGGAGCAGAGGGTTAAAGGTGATGCCTCCTGTGCCCTGCCTGGCTGGGAGCTGCTGCTTTGGTGGAGAACAGTGCACAGAGCCAAGGTGTTACATGAGGTATCAATACCACTCCATTCAGGAGGGGTTTCTGGAGGCTTCTTCAGACAGAGGCATTTAAAGGGGAAGGGGAAATACAAAAATGCAGTGAGGCAGAAGGAAATAATTTGTCCTTTTTGGGCAGGAGAGTTGCGAGTTGGAGTTTCTGAAGTGGCTGTTTGATCTAATCAGTCTGAAATGCCTCAGGATTGTGGATGTGGGGAAAGGGAAGGTCATCTCTCCACAGCTTAAGGGCTTTACTGGGCTATTCCAGTGAGTACTGTATTGCATGCCCACCTTTGAAGGGACACTTTCAGTTGCCTTGCACACTTATCAAAGGAACTGAAAGCCTGCAGTATTTAGGGAGATCATTTAAACTGCACAAAACTTCTCCAGGGGATTATCTGAAACTTCTCTGGGTCGGAATTTAGTTCTCAGGCTTGTACTGAGCGCTCTGTGCCTTGCAAAGGCTTTGTCAGCAATTCAAGCCATGCTCCAGGAGCTGCTGGACAAGGCGTAGGGCTGTGAAGGATGGGGCTGGATTTGGGTGAGTCAGTGATGGATTTCAAAAAATAGGACTTGAGACCTTGAGTGATGGTAGTGCTGCATGGAAAGCCAGGCAGAACCTACTGCTTTTTGCCCGAGGATTTTGGATGTAGTTTGTTAAAGAAGCTCGTGGGACTTGTTGGGGGCAGCTGGTCTTGGAGCGGGGAGCCTCGCCGTGCTCCTGCAGACTTGCAGGGGCTCCCAGGGAATCCTGGCAAGATGTTTGGCTGTGTTTCCCTGTTGGGAAAGCAATCTTGGGAAGATGATTCAGAGAAAGATCAGGAATTGCACACAGGCAGTCCTTAGGTCGGGGTCAGCTTTCTCAGCTTGTGGTGGGGATTTTTCTTCTCCTCCTTAATGGAAGACCCTCTGAGCCAAGTGTTCAGCTGCCCTGAGCTGTCTCAGTACACGGCCACAGGGAAGCTTCCACCCTCTCTGTTCATCCCAGGCCCATCTCTTCTGCTTCTGCAGCATAGATGCCACCATATCCAAAAATTGTGTGCTATAAGAGCTGGCTTATTTCTGCTGTAGAGAGCCAGATCCCCACATCCTGGTGGCCCTGGCTGTTTGTGGAGACCCCTGTGAGAAGGAGCTCTGGTTTCTGGCTCATACAGGGCCTTTTTCCTACACCTTTCCAGCATCCACTTCCAGGGCTGCCCAGAGTGGCTATGGCCCCTCGGTTATGTTTTTTGTTTCCCAGCGTGGAAGAAGGCTTGTTCTTTATCTTAAAGGGGTACCCTCCAGTAATGGAGAAAGAAAACAAGCCACCAAAGGAGGGGCTTTGTTTTGGATGGTGATTCCAGATTGCTCACACATCAGTCAGGTGAGGCCAGACCAGGGAAATGAGGGGTTTCTCCTTTGAAGTGGCTGGATCTTTGCCTGGCAACCAGAGTAGGAAATACAGATTATTATTATTATTATTTTGCTTTTATGACTGCCATGTGTTTGACAGGCAATTGAATTCATTGTGGGGAGTTGCCCTCCCCTCTCCCTGCTCTGGGGGACTGTTTGGGACAGAATGACCCTAGAAACAATTAAAGAGAAAAGCCAATCCTAAATCTCTCCTTTTTTTTTTCTATGTTGTTTATAACCAAACAGCATTCCTGCCTTCATTCCTTTCTTACCCTACAGGCCTCTAATGCCAGATGACCTGATTCCTGCAAATACCTTGTGTAGGTTTGTTGACAGCTCTCAAAGGCTTCACCCAACCAAAAATCCTGCCCTGTTTGTCCCCTGGCCACCATCATCCACCCATCCTGCTGCACCACAACTCATCCCATCAGAGCAGCATGCACAAAAACAATAACTCAGCCCCAGAGGGGGAATATCTGGGAGGTGGCACATGGGATATGAAATTTGGATGGCTTTTGATGGATACTGGGCACATTGTCATTCCTCATCAGTCTCTCAGCTGCTGGCAGGGAGGAGCAGGTTGATCCCAGTCCTGGGAGGTTCATCACAGGTATTGGCAGAGTGTGGCAGCTCTGGGCTGGGGCATCCAGCAAGGCTGCTGCCGTTCATCCCTTGGATCTCTTGAGTTTAAATGAGTTATTTGTGCTTGCACAGTGGTTTTGTTTGCTGTATTGTATTTGTAGCCATTTCTTATTGGGATTCTTGTCACTGGCTGGGGCTAGAGCTGTCCCAACCGTGGCAAACTAGATGGTATCTGGCCCCTGCCTCACCTGCCTTCTGCCTTCCTCCTGCCCCACAAAAGCGTCCAGTCTCTCACCCACACAAAACTCCTTGACCTCCCCTTTGCTCTGCAACTGGAAGATGTAGCCTTTCCCTTGAACCAGAAAATATGGGCAGATTCAGGAGAGAGTTTTGAGGTTGATCTAACATGTCCCCCTCTGCTCCCTGCTGGGCTCCCCACAAGCGGGTGATGCTGCAGGCCGGGGCACAGGGAGCCAGGAACCTGCATGGCTCGGCTGCCCTTGACTGTAGGAGCTTTTTTAAGAGGCTTGTTACTGGTGCTTAGAAAAACACAGCCCTTGGCCCATCTGAGGCCGAGAGGAGGTGAACTTGTGTGCGAAACAAACCGCGCTTTCAACACCGGCGCGCGGGGAGGAGCGAGCGGGCCCCGCGCTCGGGAGCCAGCCGAGAGCGCGCAGGGCAATCGCATCCCAGAGCTGTTTATTAAAACCTGTGGAAATTGCTCATAACTCCATGTGTGCGACGGCTTTGTAGTCGAGTGATGCTCTTTGTTTGAACATGGGGCTCTCGAAGAGGGCGAGAGCGTGCTGTGGGGGGGGTGTGTGTGTGCACGCGCGGCCGAGCCCGCCAGCGCATGATGTCATGGACGAAGCAGGCGCTGCACTTGAGAGAGGGAGAGGGAGAAATGTGTTTTACAGGGTGAGGTACAAACTGAAATGGCTGTGAACATCTGGAACTGATATTAGGCTTGGAAAATGTTTTCTGTCACTCCAGCGCTCCTCTGGAGGAGGGTTTCTGAAGTTAAGAAGCTCTAAAGGGGATGGGGGGTGGCGGGGGGGAGGGATGGGGGGATAACATGATTGTGGTGCAAAGTGCTTTTTATGTCTCCATTCTCTAAGCCAGGCCGTGTGCCAGAGCAGGTATCACCATTGCTAGTTGTGGTGGCCCTGGCTTAAAAACTCCCCTGGAGCAGCGGAACCCCTCTGCCTGAACTGGTCCTGCATGGGGAGTGCAGCATCCTCCAGCTCATGCTGGGCAGGAGAGCAGAAGGATCCTTGTCCTTGTTTTAGGGTTGGGAGATGAGGAGCTTAGGTGGGAGGCCTTGTCTGAAAGCTGAAGGATGAAATCCTGGAGTGGGGACAGACCTGTGCCTGGTTTAACACCACCTGGGGCCCACTTGGGAGGTTGGACCCGCCTGGGACCTGCAGCAGGTTGGGGCTGCTGCTGTGAGTGAGCAAAATGCAAGGTTTAGAAATAAAAAAAAAAGCACTTTGAATGTGTTTGTATCACATTTGTAGGGATGGCTGGGGGAAGATGAGGGGCTGGGCTTTGACTGTGTGATGGACTGGGGTCCATGGGCTGGGCAGGGGGCTGAGTTGCTGCTGTGATGGTTTGTGGCTCTGGGAGCTCCTCGGTCCCTTTATGATGTTCTTTTCCTAGTGCAGTTTTATTCCCCTCCTGCCTCTCTGTTTGTTGCTGGGTCTCTGAAGACACATCTGGGGGGAATTTGGAGGGGGCTGCCATGTGCCTGCACAGTGGATGGTGAGGGGGTGGTTTGAGGGGTGATCCATCAGGGTATCTCAAAGCACTTTGGTGGTGCACTCTCTGAGGTAAGAACGGGCTCTCCTTTCTCTGCAGACAAAGGGGCAAAAATGAGACACAGAGGTAAAATGCCCATGCTGAGGTCACAAGAACTGGGCAGGGAATTAGCCTCAGCATGGGACAGTACTCACCTCTGAGAGCAGAAGGGGGTGCAGGTCCTGGATCCCCCCAGCTTTGTGCCCTGTCCTGTGCTCACTCCGCTGTCAGGACCCCCAGGCTGGCCACTGAACTACTTTGCACCTCCCTGTTGTTCCCCACCACCAAGGTGGGCAACCCTGTACCTGTGCACAGCACTGGCAGTAGCTCTGTCCTTGAGCATGAATCCACCCCCGCCTGCTTGTGCTCCAGCATCAAAGTGGGCAGAAGGGGGGAGGTGCAGAGAAACGAGGTGTCCCTTGCTGTCACCGTGGTTGAGGGTGACAGCAAGTGTGAACGAAGCATTACCACAATGCGCTGCTGGCTCTGTGCTGCTGGTGCAGGTCACAGAAGGACTGGGAGGCTCTCCCTCTCTCCCAGCCCTTCATCTTCTGTGGGCTCTCACACTGTGGTTTCCCCCCTTTTTTCTGTGGTACTTTACAGCTCAGTGTGTGCTGACAGCTGAGTCAGTGCAGTTGGGGACCTTGCAGGGTATTGGCTGAATAAACGATACAACAAACAGCTCACCTGCTTTTATCCAGCAGTTGGTGATGAGATGCCCTGTCCCAGTAGGGCAGGTGAGGTCTGAGCAGGGACTCTTAAAGTTTGTGACATCAAGGGATCCTGGCTGCTCCGGGTTCTTTTTGCAGTGGTCACATTCCGAAGAGGTAACCCTCATCCAGAACAGCTTGTAATCCTCAAAGAAAGGAGGAGAACAGAAACTCAGCCTGCTGAGTGAGCTTGTTGGAGACCTCAGAGCAGGAGAATGTGGAGTCTGGCAGCCTGCTCAGAGTCCTCTGGTGTACTGGGACCCTCGATATACAGGGCTGTGGTGTGGAGGAGAGCCAGCAGGTAACCTGGGAGGGTGTCTGGAGAACAGACTGGGCAGAGTGATGTGCAGGAGTGGAGAATACGGTTATATAAAACCTGTGCACATCACCATGCCAGCATTGCAGACTCCTC